TTGCAGCATCCTCATGGTCACGTGATCAAAATTTTGATGTTTGGCAACAGTTACAATTTATATTTGTAAATTGTAGTTATGTTGAAACAAAAAAAATATTACACTACTATTTTTGCGTTGTATGAAAAATTTTGTTGCTCTGTATAAAATTTTTAATCAACCCCCGCCCACCCACCCCCCGGTCAAAGGTGTCCCTCTTTACCAATCTGAAAATCTGGTCACCTTACCCTATGTCTGGATTATTAAAGATAAAGTAGGACAATTAATTCTGGAGGAAACAGCATGAATGGAAGCACCTATCAAATGTACCTAGATATGGCTGGATAAGAGGATAATAGGCACGTGCTCCTTGTTGGTCGGCAAACGCAGTGTGGGCCTTTTGGTACAGGATATCTTTCTTCACTTGGGCACAAGTAGAAATATCTAATTTCTCAGCATGCCTAAGGAATTTAACATGTAAGAGATCAGACTTGGTCAATGAGATTCTACAAAAAAAATCCAAAAACATTTCTGAAACATTTAAAGGGCACCAGGTTATAGAAGGCTGAACCTACAAAACATCTCAATCAGAATAGAGCTAGAAGGATCTTGGAGGCCTTCTAGTCCAACCCCTGCTCAAACACTATACCTTTAGAATGCAGATAAGTGGCTGTCCAGTCTCTTCTTCAAAACATCCAGTGATGAAGCACCTACAACCTCTGAAGGCAAACTGTTACACTGGTTAATTGTTCTCACTGTTAGAAAGTTTCGCCTTAATTCCAAATTGCTTGATTAGTTTCCATTCATTGTTTCTTGGCTTCTGGTGCTTTGGAAAACAGGTTGACCCCATCTTTGTGGCAACCCCCTAAATGCTGGAATACTGCTATCATGTCACCCTTTCATGTTTCTTTCTCTAGAGCAGCCATACACAATTTTTTCAACAGTTGTTCGTATGTTTTAGTTTTCAGGCCCATAATCATTTTAGTTACTCTTCTCTGCATTTTTTTCAAAGTCCCAACATCTTTTTTGTAATCGAGTGCCAACACTGGATGAAGTATTCCAGGTGTGATCTTACTATGGTTTTTTTAAAGCAGTACTAATGTTTCACGTGATTGTGATTCTATGCCTGTCATTCAACCAAGCATTGTATTAGCTTTTTTGGCTGCTGCCACATACTGATGGCTCATATTTAAGTGATTGTCCACTAGGACTGCAAGATTCCTCTCAATTGTAATTGTAATTGTAATTTAATAAATTTATATGCCGCCCAATCCCGTAGGACTCCGGGCGGCTTACAAATACAAGGGTAAAATAAAAAATAAAATATAGGGGGAAACAAAAACAGATTTAAAATCAACACACCATGCGCTCAAACCTAGATGGGGGCTGGACCTCATTCAAGGGTCAACAGCCCCAGGCCTGCCGGAACAGCCAGGTATTAGTGGCTTTTCGGAAGGCCGAGAGGGTGGGAAGCGTCTGGATCTCTGCGGGCAGATCATTCCACAGGGCCGGAGCAGCTACAGAGAAGGCCCTCCCCTGAGGGGTCGCCACAAGGCATTGTCCGGTCAATGGCACCCGGAGGAGGCCCATCCTGTAAGATCTTATCGGCCGTTGGGAGGTATGTGGCAGGAGGCAGTCTCGCAGATATCCAAGTCCTAGGCCATGTAGGGCTTAAAGGTAATAACCAGCACCTTGAAGCACATCCGGAGACCGATAGGAAGCCAGTGCAGATCGTGGAGGATAGGTGTAATGTGGGTGTATCTAGGTACACCCGATATCGCTCGTGCGGCTGCATTCTGGACCAACTGTAGACTCCGAACACTCTTCAGGTG